AGGAGTCGCCATAATGGCTGCACGCAAAGAAAAGAAAGGCAAGGTGAGATGGTTCACGCATCAATAAATGGCAGCGCATGCGAGGAATGAGGAAGGGTGGGGACTCACCGTTGAGGAGAAGGAAAATGCAACGGAAATTGTAACGGAAGAACGAATCTCAACGGTCAAACCATAAGGGATGACACTTGGTACGTGACCGAAGTTGTCTCGATGAACAGGTGAAAAAGTGTCTCCGGACAGAGACAGAGACAGAGAGAGACAGATACAGAGACAGAGACAGAGACAGAGACATGAGAGCGACAGGGTGGGGGCTTCGAACACAGTGGTAGAAAAATCAAATAAGTATTTTACTTAAACCTTATATGTGTCTAAAGTATAATACATAGTCATGGACCGTGATGCAAGCGTTGCAGTCCAAATGTCAGAGAAAATCCACTCTTATGGAATCACGCGACTTTGAGCATCCGGAGGAGAACCAACGTGGTCAAGGCCCCGCGTTGCACATATGGCAGCGGGGGGGCGGGTCAGGTGTACGGCGCTCGCGTCCGAACAAGATCCATCAATCAGGGGCACTGAATGAGATGGACCAGCCAGCCAGCGAGTACATCGTTGTCCAGATGGCCCCTGGCAGCCAGCGGCATCTGCCCGCCCAGCCGTGCCGTGCCTTGCCGGACAAGAGTGTGTCTTGCATACACTGACACACCCGACGGTTACATGGCCCCTCTTCATCTGCGCCACGACATTTCTCTGACTTTTTCCCTACTCGGAACCTCCATCTCTGCCCACCCTTTACTTTACCACTACACCCATCCCACCCCGACCCCGACTCTCTTCTCCACCCCCCACCCCTCTCTTCCATCTCTCTCTGTCACACACACACACACACACATGCTCTCTCGCTCTCTCTCTGTCATTTGCTCAAAACGGTATCAAACAGTCTGCCATGCTGCTCCGACTCGATGCCTGCCCTGGCACACACACACACACACACACACACACACGATGTGCACACACTGATCCTGGGGGTGTGCTGCCCTGGCTTGGCTTGTCTTGTCTGGTGACCTTGTTCCACGAAATGCATTTCGAATGCGATTGCATGGGGAGTCAGTCCCGTCCCAATGCCTGCGCCCGCCCTGGTTCCCCCGCGCCCTCACCATTCTGATCCCATGGTCTGCCTGCATGGTCGTTCACTCCCACTTTCACTTTCTTCACTTTCTTCTGGTTCTTCTGCACAGCGCGTGTACGGGTCCCTGCCCGCCCGTCTGCCCGTCCGCCTTGGACATCACACATGTGATCGTGCCTGCCCACCTGCATTCTCGGATATATCATCTGCCACTCACGACCCACACACACACACACACTCTCTCTCTCTCTCTCTCTGGTCTGCGCTGCTGCCACCCCCGCCTCCCATCACGCTACTACATACACATGGGCCTCATGTTGTGACTTCAGATGCTCATGACCTTCTCGATCCAACCTCCTGTACTTGTAGGTGTGTGCTTGTCCAACACAGCCTGATCGCCATGGACAAGTTGCCGGCGGCCGTTGTGCCGTATGCGGAGGCTGCCCAAGAGGCCCTCGTTTCCCTCCATGAGACCCTTGGTCGTCCCTCCACCACCACCTACCTGGCCACCTCTGCCGTCGCCCTCGGTATCTGGAAGTACATCCGCGGCAATTACCTCCGCCCTGCCAAGGTCTGGCGCTTTCTATTCCCCACCCGCTCTTGAATGCTCCGCCGGATCTGATGCCTTGGACATCTTCTCTCGTCTCATCCCATTTTTCTCCATGTCAGGCACCCCCAAAAGTTCCGTCTCAGGTCCCATGGCTCGGTTGCATCTTTGCCTTTGGCCAGAGCCCCATTGAGTTTATGATTGACTGCTACAAGAAGGTTGGTTCATTCTCTCCCCGACTGAGCACCCGTCTCATCCATCATCTTCGCCTTCTCAATTTCCCCTCTTGGGCTCTTTCCCACCCCACCCTGGCGCTGCTTATTATTTAGTATGGCCCCGTCTACTCCTTTGTCATGTTCGGCACCGAGGTGACCTATCTCCTTGGTTCCGAGGCCTCATCCAGGTTCTGGAGCACGTATGTCAATTTCAAGTGTTGCCGCATCCCCCACCCAGGCGCCTCCCCCACCCAGGCTTTTGCCCACTTTATCCCGACATCTAACCAACAAATGTATCCACGTGATCCTGTTGTTTTTCCCCCCCCCCCGTACCCTCTGCTCTCTAGTCACAACGATGTCCTCAACGCAGAAGATCTCTACGCCAACATTACCGTGCCCGTTTTCGGCGAAGGTGTCGCCTATGCCGTCGAACACAAGGTATGTCCCCTTGCGCCCTTTCCTTCCCCTTCCTTCTCGCATGTCATTTGCCTAGTGCAAGACCCCAAGTGCCGTCGCTGACGCCCTGCTCCATGCCCGCTGGGTGATCACTTGCATAGATCTTCTCCGAGCAGAAGCAAATGGCCAAGGAGGGTCTCACCATTGACCGCTTCAAGGCCTACACGAGCATGATCGAGAAGGAGACCAACGGTTTCATCGAACGCTGGGGTCAGACTGGCACCATCGACTTTTTCGATAACATGGCCCGCATGATCATCTACACCGCCACCCGCTGCCTCCACGGCAACGAGACCCGTGAGGACTTTGACGAAGACGTAAGCTTAATTCCCTAACACCCGCACAGCCCGCTCGTCTCTCCCCCCCCCCCCCCC